ACAACATGACCTATTTAAATGTGATTGGTCATTAGTATGTACTTTTGTTTTTATTTAACTGAGTAATTGTCATGAACTTTATTTTATTACTGTTAACCATATTAGTTGTAAATCGGTTGTAAAGAAACTACGAAATGACGATATCATCTGGCGATATTTGTCTTCTTAATGCCTTATATAAAAATGCTACTGTTTATTTCACCATTATATGGTAATTTGACGAAAAATTTTTTTTCTTGTAGGTGATATGACACTGCTTATTGCCAATTCATTTAAGTATTATGTCAGAATTCAAAGGACTTCAATTAACTAGGCTGTTTGAGCCACATCAAATGGAGTACAGTGCTGATGAGCTCGTTATCAAACAAGCGAGAGTGCCGTTTGATGCTTAACAGGGGGTAATTACTGACGTAAATATTCTCAAAATCTACTCACATATTGGTCACTGTGATAATATACCATCACGAAAATAAGATATTATACTCGATTTTAGAAATAAAGCTATAAGACAGAGAATATGAAAGAACAGGGGAAATATATCGTACCAAAATTCAGTAAGTACTAGTTATTTATTTTATATAACATCTTTTGGATAAAGGATTCTTAATGTCATCTGGAAAGCACAGTGAATAATCAAGTGTTTGTTTGTAGGGATTTGATTGGTTACAGGATTTTATCATGAGCTGACATTAGTTAGAGAACCACTGGAAAACCTGAGATTACTGGACATCTGTTTCGTCCGTGTATGAGACTCTTCATCAGTACGCACCAACCGAGGACCTTCTGGTTACAGTGAATAATGCAAGAATTTAGTCTACCTGAAACGAAGGACTCGACATATGATATCTAATTTAAGTATCCATGTACATCCTGCAGAAGGTTTGTAGAATTGCTCACTCAGTGGTAATGACTGCGACTTCAGCACTGGGTGATACGAGTTTGACTCTCATAAAGGGTATAAGTTCCCTCAAGATTGCAGAGATGCCTTGCTGATGAGTGCTGAAAAGAACAAAGTCTATGTCCAAGGCTTTCTCGCAATTTCCTTCAAATATTTAACATAATGACTGTTTTATCTAAGAACTAAAGAAAGTAAAAGTAACGTTGTTAATGCTCATTGAGCATTTACTCTGACAAATTCATCTCTTCACTAACCTCTAACAAATAGTGGGTCATTACAACAAAGTATTCTGCCAATTCAATAATCTCATCTAATTAAACAAAGCAAGAACAGCCAAAAATGAGCAGGATAATATGACATCATCATTTTATTCCATAGATTCTTATCATTTGGTTACAGTCTGAAGACATTTTTATATCAATATACAAAAATTCATATATTCAGAAGGGCTCTTGAATGAATGCCGTAAAAATCTTCATTAGTGCTATCAGCCATGGTAAGAACGGCTCAGTTTGCTGAACCAATTTGACTGCTGAAACCGCAAGCTTATTTGAATTTTCATCAGCGCGTAGTGTATCCTACTTTTCTCCTCTCCCTGCTGTTTCAGTCTTCTGTTTATGTCCTTGAACAACATAATGAACTCACGCTAGTTTTTAACTGACTGCCAACCTACTGCTTTGCAGAACTTCAAGAAGAAATTAAAGAAAAAATTCCGTCGATAATTAAGTCTTGAATAAATCTTACGTTCCACGAATCTTCTATTTGATGACTTATGCGAAGAGTAAATATTTTGCAGGAAATAACACTGAGTATTGTGAACTGTATGTAAAAATGGTTTCCAGAAGAAGGATGTTGTTTATATTGACGTCAACTAGGAGTAAATTTTATCAAACTACTTATACTACTGACATATATTTGAGTAGTTCACATATTTTGGAAACATTTTAGAACTTCAAACGGTGAAATACCAGTCCTTACTCCATTAAACATTTGAACTAGCCTTCATGAAGGATGCTGAGGAATTACAACAAGAAAAGGGGAGATTTTCATCACTAAAGTAATCAGAAATGAATTTTATTTATCATTGATGATAAGATGTGAGATGTGTTGCAGTAAACTTGCAAATGAAATGTTCTGACAAGCAACACTGAAGTTGATGAATAGAACAATTACATGTTATAGTGTGAGGTTTAAAATTTCACACAGCTGTCATTCTACTTTAATAAGTAGTTTTCAAAGTAATATCCTGACGACTATTTCAATATTGAAATTATTTACGTTTTGAAAAGTTGGGATAGATACAAAACATAACCTCAATTTTCGACTAACGAGGTTGTTCATGAGTAGAGGGGGGTTCATAAATGTTTCAATGCTTCTTATTCACCATGCAAATGAGCATATATAATCCCCATCCAGGCATGAATGAGAACAAAACACGTAGTTCAGCGAAGAGTCTCTTTTCGGCGAATTCATTTTCTTAGCTGTACAATCATAAATATATACGTGTTATTTTGTATGTACGTGTACATTAAATTTGTCAAACAAAAATAAAACTGCTTATAGTTATTTTAACTAAACAGGTGAAGATTGGTAATTGGAGTTACGTAATACAAAATCAGTCAAGAAAATTAGGTGTTAGTTAAATTAGGGTAGTAACAAAGGTGATGAGTGAGTTTTGCTCAGGATGCACATAGGAACAAAGTAGATAATACGAAATTACGTAAGAGTTCTAAATGAATACAAGGATTATAAGCAATTAAAGAACAGGCGAAGAAACAAAATTAAGTTATCAAAATCAAAAAAATCAAATAAAAAAAGTTATTACCAAGACAGTAGAAGTGGTTGAGTAATCCTCTTTTGTATGCACAGCTCCGGTTTTACTATGCAAATGGCCAGAGCTTCAGCGATACAAAGAAGACGAAACTGTATTGTTTTTGATAGGTTATTCTTGACTCTGTAGATTACTTTGAAGGAAGCGTTTGTTAAAATGGAATGATCAGTGTTAACCAGGTGTTCAATTATCGCACTCCTTATATCACCACTATCGCCTTTCCGCAACCATGCTGGATAGTGTTCTTGAATCCTCTTGGACAGGATGCGCGTCGAACGACCGATGGACCTGGCTCCACAGCAGCAGGTGAACTGGTATATGCACATAGAAGTGGTCAGATGCAGGATCTTGTCCTTGAGGCTTCTGCAGATCAGTGGGCGACTGCAGAATACTATTCTTAGCGTTGCTACAAAGAATGTTCTTCTCAGAGTTGATGTGATCCTTCTTTTGAGAATATCGCTTGTTAAATCTCCCTTGAAATTCAAGTTCATGCAGAGTTTCTTTTCAGGAGCAATTAAAGTTTTGTTTCTTCGAATTCTTGGTTTGATATTTTTGTCGATAAATCTTATTGGATATTCATTTTGGATGATAAAATTTCTCTTAGAATATCTATTTCTGTTTTCAGAACGTCGGGACTACAGATGCACCGGATGCGGGTGGCAAGTGACTTAATCAAATTCCGCTTTTGTTGAATGGGTACCCAGCTACAGAAGCTTGTTAGTTGACCATTCCAAGTATCTTTCCCATGAATGATCCAAAATGGATACCCAATAAGGTTGATTTTCTGAGAAACGGCCACAAAGATATAACAGAATGACCTTCAGCAAGAAAACAACCAATCAGAAGAGGCTGCTTCTTCACTGACAATAATGTACATAAAAATCTGTAAATATTTGTTGATTTTCTCAATAAACGATCTGTTGCCTGTCCCTTGTCTTCCGTCGTTACATTACTACACTTGTAATCCCTAACTGTACAAAAGAGTGAAGTTTCTCAATAATTATGATCTTACTATGTTTTTTATCCAATCTTCCTACTTACTACACTTTTTAATTTTTTCAATTTATCCCTTAACCGGAAATAGTTCTGGAACTTTCTCACAAATGTGCACCCCCTTAGCTGATGACTTCGTCGAAGAGAAAGTTTTCTTCCCTACAACCGTCTTTTTATTAATTCCTGCGATACAGAATTAACAGCATTCTATCTCGTAAATTCCTCTCTTGACATCCAATTCGGAGAACATTCACCATCATAACTTCTTGATGTAATTTCAAGAAATCCAGTTTGATAAACAACAGATCACTGCTCAAATATAAGGTTTGTGAGAATGCTGTCAGTATTTCTATCCTTTGAGAGATTTATAAGGTCCCAAAGGTCAAAGCTCTCCCCCTCTCTTGCTGAAACTAACCTTTTACCTTATAGGTTCCTTATCTGATCCCAACAAACTGAACCTATGAAAACTTATTCTCGTGCTCCTTAATGAAGAGAATCACATTTCATCATCACGCTTTTCTGTCATTTTGTGGTGAGCACTAGCTGCAAGCTAACATTGTAGACAACAATTTACGTCAATGCTTACGTCCCGAATCAGAGTCATGAAAAAACCAATAACAAAGACTAATGTCAAGGAACTTAATCCCTAAGTTCTCCGAAGACACTCGAACAGACAATTACTATGCACATTATTGACCTTAACTCCAAAACACAAGGGCTGGTAATAAATTTTATTGTTCGGCACTTAAAATCAATACTCTGTACAAGGTCTATAAACAGATGTTTTACAATGAATGTACTGTACTTTTATTCGTATCCTTTCGTCTTCTTCAAACTTGAACACGATCGAATCACTGGCGCCTTCGAGATGCCCGTCAGTGGCTACCAGTTCCAATAAACAAACGTTCAATGTTCATATTTATTTACAAACTAACCTTAAGGAACTCACCAACCAATCACACTGGACTTAACATGTGCAAATATGATTCGCAGATATATGGCTTAACTTTCTAAGAAACGGTCACAAAGGGATAACAGAGTGACCTTCAGTAAGAAAATAACCAATCAGAAGACGTTGCTTCTCCACTACCAATAATGTACATTAAAGTCTATAAATAGCTGTTGATTTGCTTAATAAAGGTTCTGTTACCTGGCCCTTGTCTGCTGTCGTTACAATCTGCTTTTTATGCACAATTATATTTTTGTCTCCCTTGATCCCCGATTGGAACATAAGGCCTCAGTAGTGCATCTCCATTTCATCCGGTTACGATCATAAATTCAACTATAAAAATTACAAGCTGGTGGTTTTGGTTCTGTTTCAATAATCACCTCTTCACAATGTTGTCCATATCGTCTTTCTGGGCATATACATTCATAAGCGCCAACACGATCAATACAAGTAGCATCATAGGCACATGGATGTGAAGCACACTCGTTGACATCTGTAGGTATAAAGGAGATGAGAAATAAGATAAAAATATGAGAAATTCATACATTTTTCATTCTACAGAAAGAAATATAACCTTCTTCGCTGGAGACATCTTCATTCTCCTTATTATTCGCATAAATTATTGTTTTATTATTATTATTTTGGAATTCGAGTGGAACATAGGGCTTCTACAGTTCATCGGCATTTCAGTCTGTTCTCTGCACTCCTTCTTAAGTGGTTCCACGATCGCCCATAAGCTTTCAACTTTTCTTAACACAATCTCAACTATATATCATCCTTGAACCCAGACGAAATTCGTAATTTCCTATTTGGGCCTGTCTGGCGCTTCATACCATTCAGTAGTCTCGTCAGCTTGTGTTCTATTCATCTAAGTTTTCTTCAGTGTCTCCAATGGGCTTTTGGTTCTTGGTTAGTTTGTTGGCAGACTTCTTTCTTTCTATATCTGTCTGGTTATCTTATCTTCAGGATGAAGTGTAGGTTGGTGTTGATGAAAGTTTCCAGTAGCCTGGTGCACACGTGCTATTAATGACGTCCTTACCAAGTCGGTGAACTATATAGAAGCATTAACTGATATGACGTTAGTGCTGTGAAATCCGATAATTTCTATGAGTCTTGAAATTTCTGTAGCGGTAGGGTGTCTATCCCTACGCCCAACCTTTCCTCTGTTTCGCGCTTAGGACACAATAGTGTGTCTTACACAAAGATACTCTGAATTTCGATAAAGAAAGGAAGACGAAATTTGCAGTATAAAATGTGATATCGTCATTCTATTTCACAGGTTGTCATCAGCTGCAGACTACCTGAAATTACAATGGTTATATAAGTGATAATAACATACTTTAATGTTTGAATGGTTGGTAGTAGAGAAGACATACTATAAAATTGACGCATCCAAAATGAAAGCATTACGATTTATAGTTTAAGTTCTCATCATCAATTTATACGCTTTTAAAGTGGAAAAGAGGGGGGGGGGGGGAGGGGGAAAGACAGAAAACATAAAAATTAATCAACAGAAACAGTGTTAGCTTGTAGGTTCACATAGCAACTTCAAGAAACAAAAGCGGTTACAGTTTATGAGATTAAGATTTGTTCAGTGAGTTGAGATCATTGAATTAGATGACTAATTAATGTAATCAAAATCAAAATTCACAGTTACCAAGGGAGTGAGAGGCTAATTACACTCTCTTTCTGTATGAATAAGTCTGGTTTAAATCGTTATTATTATCACCTATATAACCATTGTAATTTCAGTTAGTCTGCAGCTGATGAGAACCTGTGAAATAGAAATTTCGTCTTCCTTTCTTTATCGAAATTTATCAAGGGAACCAAACGTATGAAATTTTTTTTGAAAAGACGCCTCCCTGCCCATACTCTGAATCATCAGTTACCCACCTTTCCGGCAGGATGAGCCTTACGTGCCAGAGTTAAAATGACTGCATTAACCCGATCAGAATTATATATAGTGAAGTCGGCATGATCAATTTAGAAGTTTTACTAATTAAAAATAACAATAATAACTATGATGATTTTATTCTGAACAACACATTTACAAATAGTGAATAATCTCCAAAGAAAACAGGAATCTACATTACATCATTTTACGGAATTTTGTCCCATCTGCAACATGCTTCGACCCCCGTCGTATATCTGTCTCTTCACGACTGACCAAGTGGTATACTAAAAGCCACTGTTCTCTATTAAACGTAAATAGGGAACTCATCATGGGTAGAGAAGCTCTCGGAGAAATGAATGAAAACGGAGAACTCTTCGCCGACTTCTGCGCCTTCACAATGAACTAGTGATTGGTGGCAGCGTATACAAACACAAAGATATCCACAAGGCTACATGGGTGTCACCAGATGGGCGAAACAAAAACCAAATTGACTTCATCACAATCCCAAGGAAATGGAGGCGCAGCCTACTGGACACGAAAGTAAGAGGCATCGTTTCAACTACATGCGGAACTGACGAGGATATCAAAGCAAGAATCGGAAAAGCAAGACAAGCTTTCATTACTCTCAAGTCTGTGTGGAGGTCAACAGCATTCAGCATCAAAGATAAGATCCGGATTTTCAACTCCAATGTGAAGTCAGTACTACTTACTATATGGATCAGAGACTTGGCCAGCGCGTAATAAGCAGCATCTCAAACAAACTACAGACCTTCATTAACAGTTGTCTTGCTTAATACTCAAGATCAGATGGCTGGCCAGAAAAGATCAGCAACAGGGATCTCTGGGAGCGAACCAACTCAGCAGGAACCGATTGTGAAACAAATAAGCAGGAAGAAATGGAGATGGATTGGCTGGTCATACTCTGAGGAAACCATCAAGTGACATCACTAGACAAGCCATCGCTCGAGTGGAACCGGAAAGGGAAGCGGCGAGTTGATCGTCAGTGAAAGGGTGGGTGACATGGAGGAGGTCATGTGAAGAGGAGATGAAAGCATGTGGGCAGACTTGGAGCCAGGTGAAGATTCTAGCAGAGAACCGAACGCAATGGAGACGCACGGCTGAAGCCCTATTTTCCTCTAGGAATTAAAGGAAATAATAATAAAGCAAATTAATAGAAAAATATGAATTTGTCATCTTGTTAATCGTTGTAATTCAACCCTCAACTAGATATAGTTCTGGAACCTTCTTGCCCATTTAGTATGTATATACACGAATGTACAGCCTGGTTGGTAACTTTGTCGAAAAGAAAATTTTCCTCATCTCCTCAAGCTTCTTTTTAATTTCTCCCACGATCTAATGTGTACATTTGCCAATGAGTTAAAAATCCAATGTAGAATAAAGCTAAAGTCTATACGGTCTGATGTCAGATATATATCACCAATCAAATAAACCTGAAGCAGTCTGATTTTATAAGTGTATTTTGACCAACAGGACTCCAGGTGAACATAGACAAGACGGAGGTTATGAAAATAACCAACCAACCAACAACAACAACAGCAACAGCAACATCCAGCGCCAATCACCATCAACGGGAGGGATTTGAAAGAGGTTACTTCATTCACTCACTTATCTAGGGAGCATTGTCTCAACTACAGCCAGGTGGAACTGACGGGGATGTCAAATTGAGAATCGGGAAGGCGAGAAACACATTCATCAACCTAACACCAATCTGGAAATCTTCGTCACTCAGCATCAACAACAAAATTCCGATTTTCAATACAAACGACGTCAAGTCAGTCAGTTCTTCTATACGGATCAAAAACTTGGTGGGTCACAAAGAATATTTCCAACAGCCTATTGCAGACCTTTATCAACAACTAACTGTCTTCGCTGGCTCTATACTGAAGATCAGATGGACGGAAAGAATCACCAACAAGAAACGATGGGAAGAAACAAAACAAGAACCAATCGCTCAACAAATATGCAGGAGAAAGTGGAGATGGATTGGACACTCACTCGCTGAGGAGGCCACTCGCTGGGTGACATCACGCGTCAGGCCCTCGAGTGGAATCCAAAAAGGAAGCGGCGAGTGGGACGTCAGTGCAAGGGTAACATGGAGGAGATCGTGTGAAGAGGAGTTGAAACAGTATGGACTAACATGGATGCAAGTGAAAAGTACAGTAGAAGACAGAAGCATGTGGAGACGTGTAGTTGAAGCCCTATGTTCCATTAGGAACCCAAGGGAACAATAATAATAATAATAAAATAATAAAGAGCAAAGCTCTCTTTCATGCTGGAACTAACTTTTTACCTTATATAGTCCTTATCTTATCCCAATAAATTGATCCTATGAGAACTTATTCTGCTGATCCCTAATGAAGAGAATCACATTTCATCATCATGCTTTTCTATCATTTTGTGGTGAGCGCTAGCTGCAAGCCAACACTGTAGACAACAATTTACGTCAATGTTTACGTCCCGAACCAGAGTCATGAGAAAAACAATAATGAAGCTTAACCTTGAGGAACTCAACAACCAATCACAGCGGACTTAACGCGTACAAATACGATTCAACCAATCAGAAGACGTTTCTTCTCTGCTAACAATAATGTACATAAAAATCCACAAATATCTGTTGATTTTCTCAATAAATGATCTGTTACCTGGCCCTTATCTGATGTCGTTACAATTTGTCCCCGTTGATCCCCGATTGGAACATAAGGCTTCAGTAGTACACCTCCATTTCACCCCGTTATGATTATAGATTCGACCATAAAAATTACAAGCTGGTGGTTTTGGTTCTGTTTCAATAATCACCTCTTCACAATGTTGTCCATATTGTCTTTCTGGACATATACATTCATAAGCGCCAACACGATCAATACAAGTAGCACCATAGGCACATGGATGTGAAGCACACTCGTTGACATCTTTAGGTATAAAGGAGATGAGAAATCAGACAAAAATATGAGAAATTCTTACATTTTTCGATTCTACAGAAAGAAATACAACCTTCTTCGCTGGAGACATCTTCATTCTCCTTATTATTCACATGAATTATTATTTTATTATTATTCTATTTTTGGATTACAAGTGGAATATAGGGCTTCTACAGTTCATTGGCATTTCAGTCTGTTCTCCGTACTCCTTCTTAACTGGCTCCACGATCGCCCATAAGCTTCCATCTTTTCCTAACACAATCTCAGCTATATATCACCCTTGAACTCATACCGAATTCGTAGTTTCCTATTTCGGTCTGTCTGGAGCATGATACCGCTCAACGATCTCTTCAGCTTGTGTTCTATTCATCTAAGTTTTCTTCAATGTTTCTGTCGGGCTTTTGGTTCTTGGTTATTTTGTTGCCAGACTTCTTTCTTTCTATATCTTTCTGGTTATCTTATCTTCAGGATGGAGTGAAAGTAGGTGTTGATGAAAGTTTCCAGTAGCCTGGTGCACACGTGCTGTTAATGACGTCCTTACCAAGTCGGTGAACTATTTAGAAGCACTAACTGACATGACGTTAATGCTGTAAAATCCAAACATTTCTCTGAGTTTTGAAATTTCTGTAGCGGTAGGGTGTCTATCCCTACACCCAACCTTTCCTCTGTTTTGCGCTTAGGACACAATAGTGTGTTTTACACAAAGATACTCTGAATCTCGATAAAGAAAGGAAGACGAAATTTGCAGTATAAAATGTGATATCGTCATTCTATTTCACAGGTTGTCATCAGCTGCAGACTACCTGAAATTACAATGGTTATATAAGTGATAATAACATAATTTAATCTTTGAGTGGTTGGTAGTAGAGAAGACATACTATAAAATTGACGCATCCAAAATGAAAGCATTACAATATTTAGTTAAAGTTTTCATCATCAATTTATATGCTTTCAAAGTAGAAAAGAGGCGGTAAAGGGGTGAGACAGAAAACATAAAAAATTAATTAACAGAACAGTGTTAGCTTGTAGGTTCACATAGCAACTCAAGAAACAAAAGCAGTTACAGTTTATAACATTGAGATTCGTTCAGTGAGTTGAGATTACCGAATTAGATGACTAATTAATGTAATCCAAATCAAAATCCAGTTACCAAGGGAGTGAGACATTAATCACACTCTCTTTCTGCATGCATAAGTCTGTCTGGTTTAAACTGTTATTATTATCACCTATATAACCGTTGTAATTTCAGATATTGGTGTGCAGCTGATGAGAACCTGTGAAATAGAATGATGATATCATTTTATACTGCAAATTTCGTCTTCCTTTATTTATCGAAGTTTATCAAGGGAACCAAATGTATGAAGTTTTTGAAAAGACGTCTCCCTGCCCATACTCTGAATCATCAGTTACCCATCTTTCTGGTAGGATGAGCCTTACGTGCGAGAGTTAAAATGACTGCATTAACCCGATCAGAATTATATAGAGTGAAGTCGGCATGATCAATTTAGAAATTTTACTAAATAATAGTAGCAATAATAACAATGATGGTTTTATCCTGAACAACACATTTACAAACAGTGAATAATCTTCAAAGAAAACAGGAATCTGCATTACATCATTCTACCAAATTTTGTTCCATCTGCAACATGCTTCGACCCCTGTCCTATTTGTCTCTTCACAACTGACCAAGTGGTATACCAAAAGCCACTGTTCTCTATTAAACGTAAATAGGGAACTCATCATGGGTAGAGAAGCTCTCGGAGAAATGAATGAAAACGGAGAACTCTTCGCCGACTTCTGCGCCTTCAATGAACTAGTGATTGGTGGCAGCGTATACAAACACAAGGATATCCACAAGGCTATATGGGTGTCACCAGATGGGCGAAACAAAAACCAAATTGACTTCATCACAATCTCAAGGAAGTGGAGGCACAGCCTACTGGATACGAAAGTAAGAAGCATCGTTTCAACTACAGGCTAATGGGACTGACGAGGATATCAAAGCAAGAATCGGAAAAGCAAGACAAGCTTTCACTACTCTCAAGTCGGCGTGGAGGAGGTCAACAGCACTCAGCGTCAAAAATAAGATCCGGATTTTCAACTCCAATGTGAAGTCGGTGCTGCTCACTATACGGATCAGAGACTTGCACTGCGCGTCATAAAGAGCATCTCAAACAAACAAACTACAGACATTCATTAATAGTTGTCTTCGCTCAATACTTCGCTCAAGATCAGATGGCCAGAAAAGATCAGCAACAGAGATCTCTGGGAGCAAACCAACTCAGCAGGAACCGATTGTCAAATAAATAGGCAGGAAGAAATGGAGATGGATTGGCTGGCCATACTCTGAGGAAACCATCAAGTGACATCACTAGACAAGCCATTGCTCGAGTGGAAACCGAAAGGGAAGTGGCGACTTGGTCGTGCAAGGGTGACTTGGAGGAGGTGATGTGAAGAGGAGATGAAAGCATGTGGGCGGACTTGAAGCCAGGTGAAGACTCTAGCAGGGAACCGAACGTAATGGAGACGCGTGGCGGAAGCCCTATGTTCCTCTAGGAATTAAAGAAAGCAATAATAATAATAATAAAGCAAATAATTAGAAAAATATGGATTTGTCATCTTGTTAATCGTTGTAATTCAACCCTCAACCAGAAATAGTTCTGGAACCTTCTCGCCCATTTACTATGTATATACACGAATGTACAGCCTGGTTGGTAACTTTGTCGAAAAGAAAATTTTCCTCATCGCTGAAAGCGTCTTTTTAATTTCTCCCACGATCTAATGTGTACATTTGACGATGAGTTAAAAATCCAATGTAGAATAAAGCCAAAGTCTATCCAGTCTGATGTCAGACATATTACCAATCAAATAAACCTGAAACAGTCTGATTTTATAAGTGTATTTTGACCAACAGGACTGCAGGTGAACATAGACAAGACGGAGGTTATGAAAATAACCAACCAACCAACAACAACAACAGCAGCAGCAACATCCAGCGACAATCACCATCAACGGAAGGGATTTGAAAGAGGTTACTTCATTCACTCACTTATCTAGGGAGCATTGTCTCAACTACAGGAGGAATGGACGAAGATGTAAAATCGAGGATCAGAAAGGCGAGAAACACATCCATCAACCTGAAACCAATCTGGAAATCTTCGTCACTCAACTCAGCATCAACAACAAAATTCGGATTTTCAATACAAACGTCAAGTCAGTTTTGCTATATGGATCAGAAACTTGGCGGGCCACCAAGAATATTTCCAACAGCCTGTTGCAGACCTTTATCAACAACTGTCTTCGTTCGATACTCAAGATCAGATGGCCGGAAAGAATCACCAACAAGAAACTATGGGAACAAACAAACGAAACAAGAAGCAATCGCCCAACAAATATGCAGGATAAAGTGGAGATGGATTGGACACTCACTGAGGAGGCCGTTGGGTGACATCGCGCGTCAGGCCATAGCTCGAGTGGAACCCGAAAGGGGATCGGCGAGTGGGACGTCAGTGCAAGGGTGACATGGAGGAGATCGTGTGAAGAGGAATTGAAACAGTATGGATTACCATGGATGCAAGTGAAAAGTACAGCAGAAGACAGAAGCAAGTGGAGACGTGCATTTGAAACCCTATGTTCCACTGGGAACCTAAGGGAACAATAATAATAATAATTTTGACCAACAACCCTGAACTGAATTCACTGATCAATCAGTCGGCCGTGTTGATTGGTGGTCTGGTTCAGCAATTAAAGCTCATAAAAGATAAAATACTGGTATCAAGCCTCGATTAACTTCACTTCAAACACAGACTGGCTGTTAATCATGCACCATGTAATCCTGACATTAAACTAGTACGCTGAAGAGACCGTTAGGAAGAATTTAAGGCATATAAAGTTTTGTTATATTAAGAAGGGACATCCGAATTCCTATGTGGGATTCTTGATAAAAACAAAAGGAATTAGTGTGGCATTTAAACCTACGAACTCAGTCAGTGACAAGCTCTGTAGACTAAAGAAACCTACTAGTGATCCACTTAAACAAAATGATGTAATCTACAAAATATCTTGCAGTGAATGTGGTTGAGGTTAACTACATAGGTCAGACGAGTAAACAGGAGTTAGTGAGATTATTGGAACATAAGAATTTACTTTGATTGGACTATAGTAACTAGTGTGGTGTGTCTAGTCCTTTCTTTCGTACAGACTGAATTCTATCAGTCAAGTTTGTAATGTTGCCACCATTCTAGGTAGCTCGCCATCACAGTGTACCTGACTGATAGAATTCAGTCTGCACCAAAGAAAGAACTAGACACATCACACTAATTACTAATCAGTGCCCAGTCAAAGTATCTACTACAGTAGTCCTACAGAAGGTCAATTGTGAGCCAGCTCGGATAGCTCAGTGGTAACGTCTCTGACTGCAGGTGCCACTGAGTGACGCGAATTCGAATCTCAGAGGGGACATGAGTTCCTAGAAGGTTGCAGATACGCCTTGTTGACCAGTGCCAACTAGCACGAAACCTAGATGTAGCCAAGGCTTCCTGTGGCCGACTGCCTCTAACCATCTAATATCATCACATGAGAATTTAGCTAACTGTAGGACTGTTGACCCCAAGTGGGTGAATAGTCTAGAGAAAGGCGCAGCAATCTCAACGAATGAAGTAACACAAAGTCACGTAACAAGTTGATGCAGAGCTACAGCTCCAATGAGTGATTTATGCGGGTGTAGAGAGAGGGAAAGAGGGAGAGGTTGACCACTGAATCTTTTTTTATCGAATCTACACACCTAACACACACACACACACAATGGGCATAACTCAATGCAAATGACACAGAAATCGAAAATATGTTGACTAGGCAACCTTATGATTTCGACTGCATCTATCACTGAAATAGTTAGAATACACTACTGATAAGTGCCCAGATCAGGGAATCCAACCCATTTCAGTAGTTTGCATCAACTATGCAGATGGTATTAATACTAATTTTCCAAAGAATCCAGTCCACACCTAACTCAAGTATTATTAGTATTATTTATTAGAGCTGCAAGTGGGACACTGGGCTTCAGCAGTACATCCCCATCTCCTCGTTCCGCCATCTTCGCAAGAAGGGAAAGAAGTCTTCTTGTGTTCATTACAGGGGGATCAGCTTGACTAATATGGTATCTAAAGTTCTATGCTTAATAATTATGCATAGATCTAGTGGTGCTTGGGAGGAACAAACACGAGAGAATCAGGCAGACTTTAGACCAGGAAGAGGGTGTATTGACCATATCTTCACCCTTCAAAAGATTCTCGAACATAAGCATACTTATTGGCGTCTATCGATTGTCATATCTCTTGACCTGAAAGCGTCATTTGGTTCCGTCGATCGACAGGCACTATGGCAAAGTTTGGCCGCGAAGGAAATGCCGAGAAAACACATTGCAATGATCAAGGCACTCACTCTACTCGAACTCACGCAGCCAGGTGAGAGCTTACGGCGAGTTGTCATCTGAACTGGTGACAACTAGTGGTGTCCGTCAGGGATGCTAACTCACTGTCCCCATTTCTGTTTAATTTCATCATCGATGTACTAATGGACTTAGCCTTAACTGACTTCACCGACCCAGGGATTGACTTCTTACCAGAGAACAATAGTCACGTTGACTTAAAATATGCGGATGATACAGCCCTTCTAGGTGAAGACGTTGGCAAAATGCAGAGTGTTCTAAACACCTTGAACAGCAATCTGCGAATGTTTGGCGTGCGATTCACTCCCGTCAAATGTAAGATGATGCTACATAACTGGACTGGAGTACATTGACTCCTAGCTTAGAAATAGGGAGTGAAGTGGTGGCGTGTGTTGACCACTTAATTCATTTATTTAGGAGGTTGCATCAGCCACCGCCAGAAGGTTGATCGCTGAAGAAATCTCAGAACGGATACACAAGGCTCGTTTCGCATTTGCCAGTTTACGGCGTCTCTGGCGTAGACATGATACTTGGCTGGCTGTCGATTGAAGGATGTGTGCTGCTTTATGACTATCAGTGAGACATGGCAATTGGAAGTGGGTCTTTTGAAAAGCCTGTTTAGCTGTCTTTGATCATAGGTGTCTGCTTTATATCTTCCATGTTGGGTGATGTAATAAGGTGAGAAATATTGACGTTTGGTGTAGACTGCTAGGTGAGGAGGGGAAATCAATCGACGGGGGGTGTGAAGCAGCCGCATCGATCGAAATGGTTAGGATATGTGTAGTGCATGACTAGCCATCGCCTTCCTCGATGGACAGTGTTAGCTTACATAGGATGGGTCAGGCTGGAAAAGAGCTAGTGTTGGTCAAACCGAAACATGTAGTCAGTTAGTTTTAGCCAGCCATGTAGGGAAGTGTAGATTGCCTGGCTGACTGGTGTCCTCGGGATGGTGAGAACCAATGAAG